GAGAGAGAGAGAGAGAGAGAGAGAGAGAGAGAGAGAGAGAGAGAGAGAGAGAGAGAGAGAGAGAGAGAGAGAGAGAGAGATGGAGAGAGAGATAGGGCCACACTCGCACTAACCTCCTGAAAATTCATCATACATTGAATATCACAGGAGGATTTAATGTTGATTTTTTACCTAATTTGTTGTGCACAAGCCGTAAACCGTGTTGCCTTGTTGTTTCCGTATCTGTTTACATTTTCAGTGAGCACTTGCCCAGGACCGGACGGTTCCAAGTACTTCATTCACCGAGAACCAGATATGAATCAAACTTACCACACTCATTTCGAACGATGTACAATCGGTTTTGACAGTCGTTTGCCAGCGTCCATGGACATTCCTTGCCTGCAGCAAATCCTCACCCAGTCTCTGGCAAACGAACCAGAGAAGGGCTTTCGAAGTATATTCTTGCATGGTACAAACGCTGGCCATGTCCTGAGCATAGATGATGATGGTGCATTCACTGCAACTACTCTATCCAGTGATCAGAAGGACGAGTTCTTTCCTGGAGCAACACACAAAGTCTGCATGCCATTCTGCCAACAGACGGTAAGCGTGGAAAATAACTTAGATCACCCTCGCACTAACTGCGTTTTATAAGACAATTCTCTAAGCCTGAAAATACAGTGTTCTTGTGGAAGAAGAACATGGATCGAATGTGTTCCCAATCGCCTTCCTCAATTGCTCTTGGAAGCCCTTCTGCATATTACAAAAAAATACAAAGAGACTCCGGCTGAACTTGGCAGTTGGCTCTCGAATAGTGTTAAATCTAAATTGTTCATTGTGCTGTAGATCTCTTCCTATGTCTTGTATTACTCGCCTGAAAAGGAAACGCCAAGGTATCAAGACGAAGACAAATATATACAGCTGGAACATTATGAGCTTTTGATTATTTTATTTCAATCCTGTGCAATCCATCCCAGCCTATATTACCTTAATAGTTTCTTCTTCTGTTCAATGTCGCTGCCACATTCTTGTTTGTTCCCTCAGGTAACTAACAGACATCATTACTTGGATTGAGTCAAGGCAACTTATGAATGCGCTCTGCTCAGTGCATTGGTAGAAGCGGCGAGATCGCAGTGGGCGGCTTTCCGGGGTAGACCGGTACCAAGCCGCTGCTGGATGGCTTTGATATTTGATATTTTGGTTTATAGATGATAGCATGATAGTTCTGTGTGTGCAATGTGCAGCAGTCTGGTCATCTGATAAGTCGATATAGATCTGACAGGCTGATAATCCTGTCATCGCGATATCTCCAAAACTAGCAAATTTGCCATAGCAACATTTCACTGAGCAAAGTATGTTTTGAAGTCTCCCACTTACACACCCTGTTGAATTTAGATTAAAAAAAATTATATGCATGTTCCCCATCCATGTTTTGGTCTTCGCGCAACACTAGGGAACATTAATTTTATACGTCGCGGAATGCGAGGAATTGTGTAATGAACGATCAGTGACAGGATAGTGAAGCCAAGCAGTATATGAAGAAGTTCGTTCCAGCAGAATTCAAGCAGATCTCCCTCGTGATAACTAAAACTCAACAGTGTACGCACTAGGTAGGCACTTTACGGATCTGCAAATTCACACTGAATTTGGCGGAAATCGACGCTATGGTGCATCTGAAGCATACAAAAATAATTCGTTTTGTCCTTTCTTTTTATCCATAAAAAGTAGTAGTTAACTTTGAAATGTACTGCGGAATTCGATAACCGTCAACCATTTCCTGAGTCGACTCGCCGGAAGGAGTGGTTTTTGAAGGAATGGCCGATATTCCACGCTTCGCAGAGAACCAGCCCAAGATCGATGTTTGCGTTCCTCTAAATCTTGCATACATCTATAAGGACATTAAAAGTACTGTTCGCGATTTTCAAGTGTTGGAAGTATTGGCCTTTCAGGGGAACTTTGACTTGAGTACCCATCATGTGACCGAATTTGAATTTTCTCTTAGCCGTGCGAAAACGCGGATAGGCGATAAATGGGGACTTCTTGCCACTATGCCACAGCCAGCGGTTTTGTATGCACCAATTATTATTATGATGCAATCGTGAAATCAGTTCGTGATAGATATCCATGCAGTAAGGTCAGAAACTGCGCACGCTTGGTTTCATGTCCTCTTAATCTGAGTGAGAAGTCCAAAGTCAAAACGAAAAACATTTTATAAGAAGAAAAGAGAACCAAAGAGCTACAAGTTACGCTATAATATCCACTGACACCATCAGTTACTTTACAGTCAGCTCACGCGATAACATTGCACGACACTGACTAACGGTACTGACGGTCTACACCTAACTGCCTAACATCTCTAGCACATCTGGGTTGCGTCCTTGAATCGTGGTTTGACCGTTTTCTCATAGTCTTACCGACCGGTCTAGTCCTCGACATACATGTACATCCACCAACGTCCTTCACAGCTGAGACTTTTAGCTGGTGCTTGTCTTGTTTCTGTTCACCTTCCCCTCCTTACGTGATTTCTATAACTTAGAACCTTCCAAGTTGGAGGGCTGTTGGAGTGCGCATCCGAGATGTGCTCTGATTGCCAGTTAGTTGCAGAACGTCAGTATCGTTGGTCAGTGTCGTGCAATGTTATGGCATGAGGTGACCGTAAAGTAATTGGTGGTGCTATTGGATCTTATAACGTTACTTGTAGCTCTTTGGTCCTCTTTTCTTCTTATGAATATTAACCATTGGCTCTCCAAGCGAGTCCAAGAACATTTTCCGATTTGTTGGGGAAATACCAGGATCAATTGCACAGCAGATGCTTGACAAGCGAAATTCGTCCCTGAAATTTCCCGCTGTACGCAACCACAATACGCGGTCACATAGGCCATCTCAGACCAGGCTGCTGCTGATATTGCCTTTCCACCATTGGCAACATTTGAGCTACAGTATGTTCTTGACAATATTGCTCACATTTCCTACTGTTGCACCCTTTGACTTCCCTCTAGCGCTGTTCCTCTTTTTGCTAGTAAGAAATATCACTATTTCTAGCATTAAAATTTATTGTTACCTTCTTTGCAACCAATTTCTGCACATGTATCTCTGTTTGGTTGGTTGGTTTTATTTCACTTCGCACATTCAAACAGGATGACGACCCAATAAAATGATGGCAAAGGCTTAGCCTAGAAGTGGCTATGGAAGCATATAGTAAGAGATTAGGATACTAATATTTGCGAGTAAACGGGGTGGTGGAGGGAGGGGGGGGGGGGGAGAGAGAGAGAGAGAACACATAATGATGTATGTGTGATACTACGTGAGGATTACTGAAATGCTCGGGGAGGGAGAGCAGGGCGATCAGCAGTAACTCGAACTACTCCCTACAGGTGTATGATACACATGCATGCTTAAACCCCAGGGAGAGAGTTCTACAGCAGAGCACCAGCAACAGAAAATCTCCGCTGGCCTGGCTTAGTACATGTAGGCCATTTAACTGCTGATGGTGGGTGGGGCCGCCTTGTGCCAGGGTCAGAAGCTGGGCAAGTACAGGGCTGACCCGAAATGTTGTTTGCACGAACATTAGTTCCGATCGAATATGAGCACAGGGAAAGTGTATTTGCGCGGATAAAGCTGCATAGTGTGTTGAAAGTAATGCGCCGCCACTAACCCAGCCTGTAGAAAAAAAAGATCTCAGTTGTGGTAGTACTTTTGATGATCATGTGTGGTAGGGTTCATAACACCTCCATTCTGCGCTATTCCTTTTGTGATGGTTTGTCACATGTGTGAGTATAAAAACGAGAGAGCTTGGAAGCTCAGGGCCCTACTAGTCCATCAGCCAAGAACTCAGAAGTCGTCAAATTCAAGGACCCTGTTGCACTTAGAAATCGAACACCTGATTTGGGCCTCAATGGGGAGTTTAGGTACCCTAGAAACTGAATCCGCAAATAAAAAGAGTAAAGGACTTGCACGCTCTGCAGGGGGAAGTCGACAAAGTGACCTTTTTTGGCATTTCATCGACAGCCATTGTTGTGACCTAAACCCAATCTCCAATCAGTGCCATGCGCGTTTCAGGAATGAACTTTGAAATTTCTGTGAATTACGGGAGAAATCTTGGAAATCGATACGATTTTCGGTGTAAACCATTGCAGTTGCCGTACACGTGTGCCTGGATTCAAATAATTCAAAATGCAATAATTGCTGTTCGTCTACTTGTGGAGTGTTGTTCCATTACACATCTCTTTCGCTGTTCTATTTAATTGAGCATACGAATACATACCTTCAGGAGGATTACGATGAGCTAGTATTGAACTTAGTCTACTGTTGGGTTTCCGAAGTATGCACCCCGAGTCACGTCAAGCAGGTTTGAAGCGTAGTTTTTACTGTTTGCAAAAGTGATCTATGCTTCCACCCTGAATGGAATGGAAGAAGGTCCTGATCCCCGGCAAAAATAGAAACGTGGAGAGCTAAAAGTAAGGAATCTGCAGCGATGGATGTCCTAGGTAAGTCTTGTTACATACACCGGTAAATAGATGAGAGAATACCCACGAATCAAATGTAATAAATCCAAAAATAATAGATAAGAACTGAGTTTGAGCCTGAAGAAAGTCTTGTTATCAGTATGCATATACAATGTCATATTTCTGGACAGTTTGCAATTGTATAACTCATTTACGATCAGCTTGCTCACTTTCCAGGCAATCTGTGTACATTTACGTTGAAGTACGATCAAGATTACGCCTAACCCACAAATAAAATAACAAGTAGAATAATTCTCATGAAGCACAGCATATGAAAGAGCTCCCGATTAGGCACAAGGCATCAAGCATGCATGGGCCTGCACATGCAGTAAGATTATGTAATTTATATGAAAGTTCTCCGGCCGGTCTGGGCAGGACACGATTAAGTAGAATAACATTATAGGAGAGAGATTGCACTGGCACAATAGAATGTTGTGAGTTATTAAAGCACCCTCGGAAGCACATCGTATTAAGCTTCGCATGTGCCCGTCACCATTGTTAAAACATGTAGGTGATTCAATGTTCCAGTTCGTTTGATGAGAAATCTTCAGCTGATATGGTATCAGCTGTGTCGTTGCTATCTGTGCTGCCATCTCTGCCATCACTGTCTGACTCATCACTTTCTTCTTCCACAGTCACTGCTGTAAGTGCAGTCGCGGAAATCGACGTTGCCTGTACAAATACACGTACACCCAGACAGGAATGTTGTGAAGTAATATCTTACATTATGAAAGGCGTGTACATAATTAATGCATTCATAAACAAAACAATAGTAAGCCAGCAAGCATGGTTTCAAGAGACTACTTGCCTGTGTTTGCTGTACAGGTACAGGGCGATTCGTGCATGCCGTCAATGTGCATTTGCATACATCTGCACATGGCAAACCATTCTTGCGGCATTTGCATCTCCGATTGCTCATGCATCCTGTCTTGCAGCCACATGTGATAAGGTCACGGATATCCTTGGGGGTAGCCTCCTGAGTCATCCATTGAATTTGCAACATTCCTACAACGGGCATGTAAAATTTAATACAGGGACATGTGTTATTGAAAGGGGTTCACAGAGTTCCGCAAACAATTAATGATAATGAACAAGCAATGCAGCAATGTTGAAGTTCTTATTCTCATAAAATCATCTGTGTTTCCCAATAACATAATTTCACTAACCGCCTGACAGTTGCCTATATATGATTGAAAAGAATGACACATCATTGAGAGGCCTTACCATCGGATGATTGAACCCATCCATTTCCAACTGGAGTTGGCTGGACCAAGTCGTTGCGCAAAGCACCTCGCCAGACTGCTGCTTGGTAGTTTGCACGATGTACATGCTGCTTCAGTGCGTTCTGAGATGGTGGCAGTCGTTCTGGGGTGGTGGCATTAGCACACAGGAGCTTGTAGCGAACAGCATTGATTTCAGTTGAATCTGGAAAGCCATAGAGACGGCAGGTGAATGTCTCGCATGCTGCTAGGAGTGACGCATCCACGGTGAACGACTGACCAAGTCTTGACATAACAGAGGCAAGCACTTCGTCCGTCTTGATGATTGCTAGGCCACTGGACTTTCCTTTCCCCGAAAAGGCACTAACACTATCACAGCCAGTATACGCATGAAGACCAATAAGAGCATCCGATACGGCTGGGCCCAGTTTCTGAGCGATAGCATTGATATCCACAAGACGTGCTCGTTGTCTTGTTCCAGTCTTGAAAATCACCTGCAGGCAGGGAGCAGCGGCAATATAAAATGTGATATAAAGTCATAGCGATTTTGGTGATTTCCAGCACATAATTATTATCATGGAGAAATAGGCAAGTCCAAGGTAGACATATACTAGGAATCAGAATTGCATGATCCTCCATCAATTCAAAACTTAATCACGAGTGAGCAGAAACTACTACTTTGCTTTAGTATTAGGGTATTGACCAACAAACTGCAGTGCAAGGTCAGTTGCTTTTCTTACCTGCTGTTGAAGAGATGCACACAGCCCAATGGCTAGAACAGCCACATCTGTATCAGGGGAGGAGATGGCGACTGCTTCCTCTTGATGCTGAAAGCAGTGAGCTGCATGGAGTAGCAACCTACAGTCGGCTTCTTCATGGGGGGCAGCCAGCTGAGGTACATCCTCACGGTTGACGACTGTGTTTGACGCGTCAGCAACTTTCAGTAGCCAGCACCGTTGGCCAACAGTAACATAGACATGCCGGTTTGTTCCAAGTAGTGTTGCGAACTCTGTTGTCGAGGCCAGTGGTCAGCAAAGAACTTGATGAGTTCCATCTTGTTTTGAGGATCACTGAGATAACGCTTCCATTGCTTCGGCGTCTCTTGATCGGGGCGCTGCACAAGCATGCGCAGTGGTTGGTTGGTCGATGCCCTTTTCACTCTCTCTGAAGACTTGATGGACAGTTGATGGTAGCAGTCAGAGACAAAGTCGACACGCTTGGAGCCAAAGCGAGTGAAGTTGGATATCAACTGCCTGAACACCAATTTGCTGAGGTCACCAAACGTACCGGGGACTGAAGTGTAGGATTGCAGGACTGCCATTGCGTCAATCAGAACTGCAGTGCCTTGAGGAACAGTCTCCAGAGGTGCAACATCTTTCTCAAGGTCAGAGAGCAGCTTTGACTTTGGAGTACTCACAGGACATCCGTCGGCTGTAGCTATTGACCAAGGCAGTGGACCTAGCTCAAATTCGACAAGGTGCTTGATGTCAATGGATCTGTTCTTGGCCAAAATAACGAGCGTCGTGAACAGCTGTCGTTCATTCTTCAAAGCTTGCAACTTTGATGATTTCTTCTTCTTCTTCTGCCCTGAAGTGCTGAACGTTGACAGACTGGGGGCAGGAATCTTGTCATAGAATGAAGCCGTCTTCTGTACCAAGCGTTCTTGGATAAACTTGGATACATCTGCTTCACCGATCGAGCCAGCATTTAGCAGATCATCATGTGCTTTTTCGGAACAAACAGTCCGAGACGAGAGCGATACAAGCTTGTCTCCGATGAATGGGTTTCCCCAGGAGTAGAGCAGTTCGCTTAGAGACACAAGATCCTGCTCATCTCTCTTCACCTGTGCCGTTCTCTCCTTGGTGACCTGCGTGGTGTGCAGCATTGGGCCAGCCAACTTGCTGCAGGCGCTCGTGAGGCTTGCTCGTTCATGGGTGGTCAGGATCCATCTGTGAACAGCACCAGGTTTCTTGCTGAATCCAACGATTCCGCCTCTCCCTTTGCTGTCTCTGTTGATGGACTGCTCGATGGCCTGGTCCACCGGCACTCGGGCGAAGCTGTTGCGTGACCGCGAAACACAGAAGTCACCGCTGACAAGGGACTCTTGAGCCGATTCATGGCTTTCAGGCAAACACTCCATGTCGTTCACATAGTAGCTCCCATAGCGAGCGTAGTTAACGTGGTCGTACGCGAAAAACCATTTCAGCATCTGCCTGAAAGCTGTGAGGTGCAGCACCCAGTCACCATTGCGGCTCGCACGGATGAAGTCGAGCAGCAGACTGACCATCTCCATGTACGAGAGCCAGAAGCAGGCCATTGGTGAGGTCTTCTTCAAGTTGTCATTAAATGTGGTGAAACGTTCCTTGAGTGACTTGAAGGCGGATGTCTGTACACACTGTAGGCCTTCTGCGAAATTGCCAGTCTCTCGCATGGCGTCCAGCTGGCCAAGGAGGTCACTTGCAGCTTCATCAACATGGGGAGAATAGTCGTCTTCTAAGTGCTCCTCAAACAATTCCCAGTTTTGCTGCAACATTGCCTCAAATACCAGTTTGTGGCATCTGATTGCCCGGTTGTAATGCTTGCCTGCGAGGACCTGCTTGCAGGCATTTGGGCCAACCACACCGGCTTCTGTCAGCAGGTCGCCAAGACCCGCACCACCAAATCGTTTGCCCAGGACGACCATGAAAGCACACGCTGTGTGGAACGCACCTAACCGCAACACTACTTCACTGAACTCGTCCTTGTGCTTTGAAAGCACTTCCAGTGCCTTGGCATAGATTGCTTGATCACCGGTTATGATGCAATGCTGCTGGTCCAATCTCCGAGTTAGTGCCACAGAGCGACGGAGTACCTCCAGTATCGTGGAATGCTCTGTTGGAGGAGCTGGGATTACTGGCAGATACCCAATATTGGATGGCTGTCCCGGTTTGTTCTGGCAGTAGAGGTCTGCATTAAACTTAGACCACACCGGGATCGTCTGTGGCTCATCACTGGGCCGGCCAAATCTACTGGTGCTCTCTGCGCTGCGAAGCAGGAACCAAAGAAAATCCTCACCGCTCAACCACTCCCGGCTTCTAGTTGGTGTGTTAGCAGTGGTAGTGACGGTGTGTGGTTCAGGTCTCGTTCCGATGATATACTGTGGGAACTCTTGCTGTACCACAGAAAGAGAACGGGCTGGCCTCTTCTTCTTACTGCTGCCCACAGCAGGTACAAGCTGTGGCTGTGCTGTGTCAGGGACATTACTTGCAGTGGGGTGCTGTATGACGATGCCGTTGGTGCAGTGGGTGGTGCCCATACCAGTCAGGGTCTCCTCCACCAGGTCGTTGTTATCCCAGCAGAAGAATACGGTGCCGTTCCCTGCCTTGATGTTGCTCGGGAGCGGAATATCCTCAGCTAGTGTGCGTTCAGCGATGCCAGTCTCGATCTCATGCAATTTGCTGTCCGAAACACCATGGCCAAATCGATTTAGCATTGACACTAACCGTGCACTGCGTGTTAAGTGCCTGGTTGCCATCGACAGTGCCAGCTGCTTGGGTGGGACAACGCGACCGTGCGACACAGCAAATACGATGTCCTGTGCAATAGCCATGACCTTTGACCGTGCTCTGTCATCAGCGGCATCCATTCGGTCACCTAAGCTACTCTCACCAGCGTTGCAAGCTTGAGGGCCAACAATTGTCCACATCAGGAAGTTAAACACTGAATCAGGGATCCAGGTCATGGACTTGGTGGGCGTGCACTGTGATATTTCTGGCACACTGGGGAGATGCTTGCAGGCATGCTCTATGTCACGGCGGAGTTTCATAGCCACGTGAAACAAGTCTCCCGCGGCGTGCTCCTGGGTGTGGCTATCAGAAGGTATAAATATATCCTCACCGGACCCATCGCTGCTCTCGTCTGCAGCTCTGCGCTTGGACGCAGACACACTTTTCCCCAGCACCGTGCATATCACACTTTCATCAAGGTCTCGTGCAACCAGGGACTCGCACTCCGTAACGGAAGACCGCACGAACATTACACCATCGTTGAAGTGGTTTCGCAACCGGTCCTTTAATAACGACGTACGGTAGTGGTGCGGTTGGCCACTCAGCTCATGTAGCTTTTCATTGTACGATTTGGTCAGGTCACCCATGTCCATGGCACACAGTTGGGTTTTATCAGCAAGTCCATCTTCCACTTTCAGGACTATGCTGTCAAAGGCTTGCTGGTAGATGGTCTTCCGTGTCTCCTTAGTACTGGGTAGAGTTACGAAGTCTCTATAGCAGGTGAAGTGATACAGAAGCTCTGCAGCTATACAGTCCCTGGAGCCGTCCTGAACTTCAAGTAACACACGCTGGTCTCCTTTGATCAGTGCAGCTTCGTATATCTTGGTTCCCGCCTCCAGGGTTTGGCACTGCTTCAGATTCTCGCACTTATTTTTCTTTCTTTTATACTTCCTCTGGCAGAACAAGCAAACGTCCAAGTTTGTAGGTTTGAGTGACTGCCTTGTAGTTCTCTTCTCCATTACGACCAACTAGCAAACGCCATAGCTCTGGATGCTGACAGCAAACAGTTGCAAAGGCAAGGTTGCTTCGAGCTTGTTGCAACCAGATAGTAGTACAGTCACAGTTGTACTACTATCTTGTTGCAACATCGAGATTCAGTACTCCACACTCGTACATTGCAGTTGCAACCGAAGGAAAACAAGTTACTACAACAATTGTACTTCGAAGTAGTACAATTGACTGTAGTTATTTGAAAATGGCGAGCATCTTCATCTTCTTCCCGGTGCGCAAGTACGCATATAATTTGAATCTGTACGTGCTCCAAGCAAACTCACCTCCGCTCAAATTGACGGCGATTTATTCGCGAATTTAGCTCAATCGCCACGGAAAACCACACCAAATGTTGACAATAATCCACGTTTTTCAGTGAAGACGCATTGGATGTCCTAATAAAACGGATGGAAAACCTCGTAATGGCTGACGAAGAAGAAGAAAGTTTTCGAACTTCCGATGCGTATTGCGAACGGAGTGCAAGTGTTTCGCCAGGGAAAGTAGGCAGGTCGGATTCAGTGATGCTTTTGCTGTCGATTGATGTCACTTCCAGGTGTTCGTTTTGTAAGTGCAACAGGGGACTCACTTTGGCACCACTGGCTGATGGACTATACGCTATGCTTTTTTGCCTTGATGACCTAGACAAAAAAAAAGCATAGGGATGTTATAAATAATCGACGCGGAGACAACAATTTTATAATAGCTATAAAGAGAACAAATTCTGCTGTCATCGCCACACTACAACAAAGTCATGAAGGTTTACCAAAATCGATTTTCTTGTCACAATCATCAGTGGAAAGCCGTGACTGAATCCATCGCCATCGTTGCCGTTGCCTCCCCCAGAACCGCCACCTGCATCTGCCATCGGCAGTGCTGGGGCTGAGTCTGTGGTGTCGCTGGCACGGGCAAATATGGATGAGGTAAGCACTGAACATGAACAAGAAGAAAGAAGGCTGAAGGAAACGGAATTCAACAGA